GCAAACAGAGAAGCAGCAGAGCCTGCGGTCCCCACATACTGCGGCCGACAAGCAGACACGTTCTGGCGAGGTGAGACAGGGGCTCCCTGACCTAAACGTGTGCCACCCCCTGCAACCAGTTAGTGAACAGTGACATCACCAAGTACCAGGCTCACGTGTTTTTCCTTTAAGTTTCCTGAAAGACAATAAATACCATCATAAATAACAGAAAAATATTGCTTCCAGATGAGATTTTATATCCAAATTAGCAAGTAAACATAATAGCAAGCCAACATTAAAAATTTTCTCAAATCAATTTTGCATGCACCCATGATATAAAATTCATGGTGCATATCATCTTTCCAAAAATCAATTCAAGGGGCTGGCACTGGGGCATTGAACAGTAAGCTACTGTCTGCAAGGCCAACATCCCATTTGGGTGCCAGTTTGAGCCCTGGCTGCTCGCTTTCTACTCCCTACGACTGTCCTAGGAAAGCGCTTGGGCCCCTGCACACATGTGGAAGACCTGGATGAAGCTCTCGACTTCAGCCTGTTTGAACCCTAACCTCTGTGGCCACTTACAAGCGAAGAACAAAAGAAAGATCTCTCGTTCTCTGCAATTCTGCCTTTCAATTAAACATATTACATATAGCCTCAGATTTTTCTGGTAACTAAAAAAATGACTGAGAATCTAAGCAACACCTCTGTCTTAGGTTGCCACTCCCACTGGTGAACATGAAAACCAGCACTAGGAGCAGGCATGGCTAGACAGAGAGTGGCATCGGCCAGCACCAGTGTGGCCTGGATAGTGGGACTGCTTGGGCTGAATTAGGCTTCAATGTCCATTGACATGTGCAAGAGCAGAATGGGATGTGGGACAGACTGGACCAGTCTACTGTACATACTGGCAAGCATGGGAACCAGGGCAGGGCTGGGCCTGGTAAGGGTAATTGAGAATCGCTCCGACTAGGCTGCAGCTCCCACTGGTTTACATGGAGGCCGAGTGTGTGGTGGGCAGGATTGGGCTGGGCTACAATACCCATATTGGTCTGAGAAGACAGGGTTGGAGACAGAACTGACCCAGCAATTGTAACCACCAGCATATGCATAAGCTGATTTGGGCGACAGATTGTGTTAGACCCTGTATTGGCAAACATACACAAGAATCAGGTCTGGGATCACCTCAGACAAGGTTTCTTTGGGCATCCTCCCAAATGAATTGCTCGACTCAGAACCCCAACCATGGAGGAAATTGCAGATTCCATGGTCTGACCATGGAGTGCATTTGCCTTCTCAGTGGACAGCATATCCAGGTGCACATGAAGGATATGACAGTCCATTGGCATCTGCACAGGACACCTAGTACTGTAACAGAGGACAGAGGACAGGACAAATTGATCAACTACCCCAGCAAAGAGGTAGCAGTGAATAGTATCTAGGCAAATGGGGTCTCCAAGATGAACTATGTCAGCCAGTGGAGTCTGGAGAGATTTCATTGTGATTGGAGTGGTAAGATCGGCGACATAACAGAACTGTTGAACTATCAAAACCACTTGAGCAGGACCCTCAGAGCATGCCCCACATTGGGGACCCTGGGATGATTGGAAGGCTGGATGTGGCTTCTTCCCTTATCTCTCCCTTAACTCAGATACAGGAAGGAAAAAGGAAAAAGTGGAAACAATGTTTCACCCACTTTAATCAACTATGTAAAAATTATCAAAAACAAAACTGAAAAAGAAAATTAATCCAAGCAAAAATACGACCACTAGCCAGAAGAAAACGTAAAAGAGACAGTAAGGGGGAGGGGTTGGAAAATTGAAGAGGCAACAAAAAAAGCACTGAGCAGTTTAATATGTACTTAGAAGTGGGGAGGAGAAAGAAAAACTACAGAAAAATCATGAAAATTCTGAAATTTCTTCAAAATTGATGTAAACCAAAAAGCTCCATGTCAAAGAACAGACTGATGGAATTATAACTCATTATGAAGGACTATACTATTGTAACAATATGGGGAAAATCAGTCTTGGGGTGGAAATTGGCAGGGGGGGATCCCAGATTCTGTAGAATTGTACCATAAAATCCAAAATTTAAAATAATTAAAAAAGACAATTTCCCCTCATCTGTAAATCCTTCAAAAGGTTAAAGTTTGAAACAATTCAAATTTCAAATTTACTTGAAAGATAATTTATTTGATCCTAAGAGCTAAAAAGCTTCAACTATAAAATGTCTGTAATGGTAACTGCCAATGAATGTTGGAACTGAAGGTAGGCCAGGTCAGGCTGAGCCCAACACCCACCTGTGTGCATGAGATTAGCAGCTGGGAGCAAGTCAGAAAGGCAAGCATGGGGCTTTGCCTGGTGAGTATGAGAACTGAGGCTAGAGCAGTCTGAACCAGGCTGGACTACAGTACTCATTGGTAAACTTGTGGACCAGGTCTGGGGGTGGGCCAGTCTGCAACACCTGTTGGCAGGTATGAGTCAGGAAAAGGTGCACATCAGGTTGGGTTAGGACACACCTGCCAGTTCACATTAGGGCTGGGCCTAGGGCTGGACAGGCTGGGCTAGGCTGCAGTACCTGCTGGTGAATACTGACACCAGATGGGCCATTCCAGAGTGGCCTAGCCCTGGCTCGGGGGCTCAGAGTTCCCAGGTCAAGAGCTAACTTGGTGAGGGGGCTGTGGAAGCTCTGCTTCTTGGCCACTGCTCCCACTGGTGAGCAGGAGAACTGACTGGAGGCACATGAGCCTGGCAAGGCTGCAATGACCATCAGCCTGCGTAAGAGCATAAGGCCAGGTTAGGGCAGTTGGCTCGGCAGTTAACAAGCAACTTGTGACATACACATCCCACAATGGTGTGCCTGGCCAGATCTACTCCCGACTCGAGCTGCTGGCTAACGCACATCCTCTTGAGCAGCAGGCGATGGCTCAAGCAGATGGGTATGTCATGCACCTGGGAGATCTCCCAGCTTTGGCCCTGCCTGACTCTAGGTGCTGCAGGCTTTGGGGAGCGATCTGGCAGATGCGAAACCTCTTTGTGTCTCTCTGCCTTCCAAATAAACACATCAAAAAGGTTTACATATAAATTGGTGCTAGAGCTCCTACAAAAATCATGTTCTTTGAAGTCTATTTTTAAAAAGGCAAACCACATGCACACTTGTCTTAGAGCTCAGCAAGACAAACAATGCAGCAACACAATGAAAACCAGACGACGAGTTACAGCAGTCACTGCACCAATGGTGATGTGTCAGGGCAAGGCAAACTGCAGCCAATGAGCTACATACCCAAGAGAATACACACAACCTAAAATCCTGGAGTAACCACGTCGGGCAGGATAGGAAGTAACACAGGGAAAAGCACTGAAGAAAACAGGTTTGACACTTTCTGAAGTGTACAGTTGATATACTGCTCAGTAATTCTACTCTAAGAAACTGACCTGGTGAAACTGGGACACAAACCTATGAACGCTGGCTCCTAGCAACTTTATTCCTAAAAGCAGATGAACATGGATCAATCTCAAAAAGGATTCTGAATGAGACTTGGAATGAGATCCAACAGCAATGAGTAACTCTGATGTATCTTACTGTCTGAGAACCACTGACGTAGACAAACAGAATAATTTTTTAAAAGATTTATTTATTTTTATTACAAAGTCAGATATACAGAGAGGAGGAGAGACAGAGAGGAAGATCTTCCGCCCAATGATTCGCTCCCCAAGTGAGCGCAACGGCCGGTGCTTCGCCGATCCAAAGCCGGGAACCAGGAACTTTTTCTGGGTCTCCCAGGCAGGCACAGGATCCCAAAGCTTTGGGCCGTCCTCTAGTGCTTTCCCAGGCCACAAGCAGGGAGCTGGATGGGAAGCGGAGATGCTGGGATTAGAACTGGCGCCCATATGGGATCCTGGCGCATTCAAGGCGAGGACTTCTGCCGCTATTTCACGCCGTGGGGCCCAAACACAATAATTTAAATGATGATGATTACATTTCCTTTGGCCACCTGGAAACGAAGTATTTTTCTCTTCTGGAGATCTCTTCCCTTCAAGTCCTGGTTAACAGTAAACAATGTCTTCTAACACAGAATCCTTAAAATGGTGAGCATTTGCTTTCCCTCTTGAGGAGTTGCTGGTGCAGTAAGACATGCATTCTCCTTCAGTACCTGCTGTGTGAGCGACTTTGGTGTTCAAAGTGGGGATGCTGCTGGCAATCACAGTGTGAGGTATGGCCTTGAACTAGTTATGCTGAAGATAGTAAGGTTTTAAAAAGTGTAGATATAAACAGAACACAAAGCTGTACCACTCTCACAGCACAGCAGAAGCCCCATCCATTATAACCTCATCCCAGGCAGAATGTGGGAAAGGTCAAGTTGCACAGATGTTCCATGGTAACTGGAAGCACTTGGCTACCTGGCCACATGTAGGTTCAACCATGTCTAGATCTTGGTGGGTAGGTAACCTGGTGGCCACAGGGAAGCAAGGCAGGGCCAGGGACAAGGCAGGAGACACCAGCACCCCGGCACCGTGATGGCTCCCAGAAAGAAAAGATGTAAATAATAATAGCTTACTTGCAGGCTGATTTCTGTGGAAACCATGGCGTTCCGTTATTTGCACACACTGGGGTACAATATAATGCACACACTGAATACCTGGCATTCAGGTAAAACTAATGGCAGGTTCACCCAGGAAATTAGCCACTCTCCCAAGGAGAAAACGTGCATTAACAGTATTTTTGAAGAAAGCACACAAAGAAATGTTGTCATTGCTTTATTACTCATAGATTATAAGCAACATTACATATATAAAAGTCATTTTTAAAACAACTATGTTTGAAAAGTCTCTTTTGGAGACATCTGGAGTTCTTTATGTTAAATATATTATTTATGTAGACACTGGGCAACAATTTAAGAACTTTGAGTTTTTCAACTCATTCCCACCCGCCACCCTGAAGAAATATTACCCTTATTAACATTAAAAACACTAAGAAAATACATATGTATTCAAATTTGCAAGTTTCTGAGTCCTTTCTCTGTATGTTTGTATATCCAAAGATGTTGGCTTGGTTATGAATTCAAAAGTTCTTCCAAAGTTCTTGTTGATGATTCATACAAAAATCTGAAACACAAGCGAAAAAACAGACAGACTGATGTGATTAAATTATCACCAGACCTGCCACTTAAAAATGGAGTAAAAAAAATGTTTCTTTATATTGGAAAGGCAGATTAATACAGAGAAGAGACAGGGAGAAAGATCTTCCATCCACTGGTTCACTCCCCAAGTGGCCACATGGCTGGAGCTGAGCTGATCCTATGGAAACCAGGAGCCAGAAGACTCTTCTGGGTCTCCCATGTGGGTGTAGGGTCCAAGGCTTTGGGCTGCTTTTGACTGCCTTCCCAGGCCACAAGCAGGGAGCTGGATGGGAAGTGGAGCAATGGGGCCATGAGCTATATATGGTATCCTGGCTCCCTCCAAGGTGAGGTTTTAGCCACTAAGACATTGTAGGATTTAAAAAATTTTTATTTTATTTATTTTAAAGACAAAGTTACAGACAGGCAAGGAGGAAGGTGGAGAGCAGGAGGAAAGAATGGAGGAAGAGAGGGAGGGATGGAAAGAGGAAGCGAGGAAGACTGATCTTGTGTGCACTGGTTCATTCTCCAAGTGGCTGCAAAAGCCAGGGCTGGGCCAGGCTGAAGCCAGGAGCAGCAAGCGTCACCCCAGGCCTTGATATGGGCTTAGGCCTTAAGTACTTGGGGCACCTTGCACTGCTTTCTCAAGCACATCAGCAGAGCAGCTCGGATGTTAACTGGTGCTTAGAGCTTACCACACTATAAAATAATGCCAGCCCCAAGAATTCAGATTTTTCATTTCAAATTATTTACTTTTTCTTTTTTTATCCCTCATCAATTCCAGACAACTTAGTGAAAGAAAAGCAGATTCTTTAAAATTAATTATATTTTGCTGTTTTGGGACATTTTCTTCAGTCACTTATTTGCTAAATGACTATTTCTCTCTGACCTAAGATTCCTCATGATTTACCTTCAGCAGTATTTGCTCTGAGACAACGCTCCGCCTGGACCCTGCAGACCTCTCGAATGTGAATCTCAACAGAGACCATGTCTGCACATCTGACTGTCCTGTGGCCTCGCAGATGCCAGGCCCACAGCCCTCTCCGCTCTCCCAGGCTCAGCCACAGAGGAACACACATATACTGACACCTCTCTCGTGCTGCCCCACCCCATCAGGTCTTTAGGAGTTGTGGGGCCAGAACCTCCTGAAGACCAAACCTGGATTCTGTGCTGGGCCTGCAGCCTCAGGGGCTTCCTGCCTGACCTCACAGCTGGCCAGGGAGGACAACAAGCTCTGTCTGCACCCCAGCACTACACCCAACTGCCAGGCCAGGAACTACTGCTGGGCTGCAACAGCTGGGACAGAGAGAACAGCCCAAAACCATCTTCTAATTATATTTTCAAAAAATCTTAAGATTCAATGACAATGAATTTAAACATAATTAAGAGAAAAAAGTTAGGTTATTTAAGGCAAAAGTACTTATTAAGTCCATTTAACCAGCTGTTTTGATTGACAACAACAATCACTGCATGCCTTTCTGCTAGAGAGAGTAACTGAGGCAGGGGTGGTCAGACTCGTCAGGCTCATGGAGAATTCTGCTTCTGCAACTCAAGAGAGTCAGATGCAGGGAAATGAAGATGGATGGGCAAAACAAAACACAGCATCTAGTGCGGGAGGGACAGAGGTGAAACCTCAGAAACACAACAACAACAACAACAACAACAACAACAACTAACCCCAGCCCAGGCTCTCCTCGTGCGTTAGGAGACCTTCCCCCACAGCGCTAATGTCCATAGGCACGAGGGAACACAACACACATACATCTTAGACGGAAGCCTGTACATCCATGTCAGTAAGAACAAAGGCTCCTCCGTTGCCCCTGGCATTGTCTGACTAGAGAGTACTTGAGGAGTCTACAGGATCACAACCACAAGAAAAGACAGAGCTAAACTGAGCAGCAGAAACACAATACAATGTAGTGCAACTCTGTTCAGTTTTTAAACGTCAACACCAAGTTTCACTGGGTGTTGTTGATAAAAACATGCTGCAAAATAAGCTATAAGAATCATCCTGCTCCAAATTTATTTAGAAAACTATCAAAATAATAAAAAGCAGAATAAAATGAGATTTTCTTCATGGACACTGGATAACAACAACAAAAAGATGCCCCGTCTACAGGGAGCACTTCCTTCCTTCAAGGTCTCCTATCAGTGCCAGTGACTGCATTACACAACTATAAAAGTTGCCTGCGTACAAACACAATCAGCCGCAGCAAGTAATTTGCTAATATGTTCATGTACTCTGTGGGAAAACTCATTAGGTCATAGGAACCTCAAATGTTTATACTTCCGTAAACTCAAATTACAAATGCATTGCCATCATCATACTATTGATGAAAGTAATAAATATATAACCTATTTAACATTCAAATGCACCAATGCACTGGCAAATTCATGTTTCTCCTGAGAAAACCTGGTCAATTTGCAGTTTACTATACAAGGTAAGGCAATTAAAAACTAAGCTGAGCCACTTTTTATCCAGCAGCCACCAGACTAGTCAACAAAATGCTAATCCTGCTGGAGTGAAAGATAGATTAGTTGAAAAAAATGTTCGCTTCTAAACTAATTTTTCATTGCTTCAAATATTAATTGGGGCAAGTTTCCCAGTCTTAAAGATGTTCATTTGCCTTAGTGTCTCCAATCTAACCTGAAATCAATAATATTTAAAAATAAAGTCCTAAATCTTAATTGTTTATCTTCCATTGATTGATTTTTTTTTCAGCCACTGGTTTCTCCTGCATATGTAAGAAGTCAGTGTTTCCCAGCTCTGACCTATTTACTTATCCAGATGCTTTCTCCTTAAAGAACCACTCTATCTGTGTAGCAGTTTGGTAGAAAAATGGCCTAGAATTACAAACTACAGGGAAACAAAACATTACCTCTCATGTTTAAATTCTATTAATGTGTTTTTCCTTTGCACAACAGTCCATGGTTTTAATTTCTCAGACCTTTCTGTTCTCTATGTAACTAACACAACTCACGAGTTAGTTTCAAACTCTATTCAAGTGGAAATAAAAGACATTTCTAACAAGGAGCAAATGTTCTGATTCCCCTACATTTTTAGAACGGTTCATATCATGATTTATTTAAACCAGCCATCATTGCCAATGTTATCTCAAAGAAATGTTATAAACTGTTTCCACTTATGAGATTATTACTATGTCTTGAAAATATTTCATAGCTGCATACTTATTCTGATCACTTAAAAAATCTTTATCCCTGGTATATCCATCTACACTGTCCTGCATCCACTGGGACCAGCACTGTGGTGTGGTGGTTAAAGCCGCCGCCCACAGCACCAGCATCCCCTAGAGCCTCTGTCACCTTCCACCTGGACCCCTGCTAACAGCCCAGATAAAGCAGCAGATCTCACCTCCCACCTGGATCCCTGCTAAGAGCCCAGGTAAAGCAGTGGACCCCACCTCCCACCTGGACCCCTACTTACAGCCCAGGTAAAGCAGCGGAAGCCACCTGGACCCCTGCTAGCAGCCCAGGTAAAGCAGCGGAAGCCACCTGGACCCCTACTAACAGCCCAAGTAAAGCAGCGGAAGATGCAGCTCAAGTGCTTCGGCTGCCCTCACCCACGTGTGAGACCAGGAAAAAGCTCCTGGCTTAGGACCAGCCCAGTCCCAGCCACTTATTTATTATTTTTCAAATAATAGGTTTATTTATTAAATAAACAAAATGTTATTTAATAGTAATACTTAACATTTTATAATATGCCATATATTTAGCAAATGTTAATATTCAAACCATTATTTAATAAGCACCAATATTTGTTAAATAATATACAGTATATTATAAAGGTCTGCTGGTTCACTCCCCAAATAGCCATAATAGCTGGAGCTGGGGTAAATAAATCTTAAAAAAAAAAAGAGGGTGGTGGTGTCCCAGCATGATGGCTCAATTGGCTAATCCTCCACCTGCCAAGTGCTACATTCCACATGGGAGCTGGATTTCATGTCTCACCTGCTCCACTTCCCATCCAGTTCCATGCCTGTGGTCTGGGAAAGCAGTGGGAGATGGCCCAAAGCTTTGGGACTTTGCACCCACATGGGAGACCTGGACAAAGTTCCTGGCTGGGATTGGCTCAGCTCTGGCAATTGGAACCACTTGGGGAGTGAACCAGTGGACAATCTTTCTTCCTCTCTCTCCTTCTGAATCTGCTTTTCCAATAAAAATGAATAAATCTTAACAAAAAAAGTTGAGCTGCCTTCCGTGTCTGCACGAGTGGTGGCTGCCTCGTGGGGGCCAGAGAGTGTGGGCTTGGAGGGGGCTGAGGGGATGGAGTGTGCAGTGGGGAAGCTGAGGGACCTGGGGACCAAGCCTGGGGACTTCCCCACATGCTTGGTCCCAGGTGGGTGGCGGGAGGGGAGAGGAGAACCCTAGGTTAGCATGCTGCTGGACTGGGCTTAGGAAACTTTGAATGGGTCTGGATTTGGGTGTGCGGAGGGGTAAGCTCCCAGGCCAGCACACATGCCAGAAGCTTGAGACCCCAGTGGGCGGGCAGAGCTCCAGACCACCATACCGAAAGACTGGGCTTCGGAAGGCTGGGTTCAGGGACTGTGGAATGATCAGGGAAAGGAGGGAGGGAAGGGGGGAAGGGAATGTGTGAGAGGGAGGAATGCTGAGGGAGTATGTGGCAGGTGCGGAATAATTTCTGATGGACTTTCACTGACTTACTTGTAGGTCAGTGAGGGGAATGGGACCTAGTGGTTTGGAAGGGGGAAGCTGGAGGACCTTAAAGGATCAGACTGATGTACCATCCCACGTGGGAGACCTGAGCTGGGCTAGTTAGAATGGAACACCCACTGACCACAACTAAAGTTACTGCTGGGAGCCTGCCTGGCAGGGTTAGATCACAGTACACACCGGTGAGAGTTGGAACAAGGGACAGGTAATGTTAGGCTGGCACATGACACTAACCAGCATGTTGAACAACCAAGTCTAGGGGCAGATTCTGTGGGAGATGTATGGGCCCACCCTTGT